TTATGTTACCGCTACGTGTGTTAAAATTATCCACCAATTTTTTGTCGCGGACATTTTATACAAACTAAATACTATTACATAGATAAATATTTTAGGACACATTTTTTAAACAACATCAAAATTACTTCATCAGCGCAAGAAGGTCATCACTTTTACTACTATTAAATAGTATTAAAATAATAAAAGTAAAGTAACAGCCTATACATGTCCCACTGCTGGGCAAAGGCCTCCTCTGTACAGAGGGTATCAGGGCATAGTCCACCACGCGGCCCCACTGCGGATTGGCGGACTTCACATATCTTCGAAATATATATATTTTTTTTGTTATTATTTCGAAAATATGCAGGTTTCTTCACGATGTTTTCCTTCACCGCGGAGCACGTGATAAGTCAGCACTTAAAGTTAAAAACTTCATTGGTGCCGGCACCGGGGATCGAACTCAGGTTGCTCGAGTATATTGAATTAAAGGCGAGCGGCCGGACCCTGAGCTATCACGGGTCTTAAAATAATACTCTGCACTATAATAATAATAATAAAGCCCTTTTATACCGGATTCGCTACAACTTCGTCAACACACATTTACAATTTCGGTGCTTTATATTAAGTCTCGCAATTCGTCGTGCCTCTTGGCATAGGTCTCTTCCAGCTCTTTCCACTGAGCTCTATGCTCTGCTACTCTGGTCCAGTATGGCCCCAGGGTTAGGCAGATATCGTCTTTCCATCTTGTTTTCGGACGCCCACGTCTCCTAGTATCCTCTCTTGGGTACCATAAGGTTACTTGTTTGCTCCACTTGTTTACATTACAACGTAGCATATGTCCTGTCCAACTCCATTTTAAATGCTCTATACGGGTTATTATTATTTCAGTATTTCTGATTTTGTCATTGAGTTTGATCCCCAACATGCTCCTTTCCATAGCCCTTTGTGTACTAGCTAGTTTATCCCTATACTTTTCAGTTAATGCCCATGATTCGCAGCCGTAGGTCATGCATGGGAGAATACAAGTGTTAAAAGTCTTTCACTTGATCTTGGTCTTCTCTTTCTGTTGACCTCTATTTTGATTTCTGTAGAGTTGGTCATCAGTTTTGTTTTAAGTGCATTCAATTCTAATCCTACATCTCTGCTTTTTTCTGCTAAAGCTTTCAGCATGCGTCCTAGTTTTTTAGGGTGTTCCTCTAACAGGACGATATCATCAGCGAATCTCAGGTGGTTGAGGCGGCTACCATTGATGTTAATACCGTAGTTTTCCCAATGTAATCTTCTAAATATGTATTCCAGCACAGCATTGAACAGTTTCGGGGAGAGTGGATCTCCTTGTCTCACACCTCTGTTTACAGGAAATGGGTCTCCCTTTGTTTCCAGTTTAATGCGACTTTTGCATTTACTGTAGATGGATTTAATTAAATGTATATAGTCCCCATCTACTCCTTGTTCTTCATACTAAGCCATATTTATGGTTCAGGCTGTCAAAAGCTTTGGAGAGTCTTTTAGAGTAGAATAAAGCAGATATATAAGGGTTTCTCGTATTCATTGTATTTTTCCAAGATTTGTTTGATTGTGTGGATGTGGTCTATTGTATTGAAATTCTTTCTGAATCCTGCCTCTTCTATTGGTTGGTTTTCGTCTAGGACCCTTGTTATTCGTTCCAGAATTACTTTTGCGAAAACTTTGTACACATTTGAAATGAGAATTATAGGTCTGTAGTTACCGATGTTATCCTTGTCTCCATTCTTATGGAGGCGAACAATATGGGATTCCCTCCATTGTCTCGGGATGGTGTCTGTTGTTAAAATATCATTGAATAGTTTGGTTAGGATTGGGCTTATTTCATCTACGGTGCCTCTCATCAGCTCGTTTGTTACATTGTCAGGTCCTGCAGCTTTTTCTAGCTTTTGTGACATGATGGCTTTCTGAACTTCTTGCACGAGTATTGGTGGGACTTCTTTGTATCTCTTAATTGGGTTCTTGTAGGTGTTTTTTTCTTTTTCTAGGTTCTTAGTGGAGTATAAGGTTCTGTAATATTCAGTAGCCAGTTTCTGGATTTCTTTGCGGTTTGTTACATCTTTGGATCTGTTATTTTTCAACTTGGGTATCCATTCCATTCCATGTTCTCTTAGTTCATTGAAAGCTTTTCTTGTTCCCCCTGTTTTGGGGATTTCGACTTCTAGTTTTTTCGTTCTCTTTATTTTCCTGTCTCTTCTTATATTTTCTCTAATTTGTTTACTTAATCTTGATATTGAGTTACGATTTTCATCCCTTTTCGTCATCAGTGCTTTTCTTTCTTCTATTAGCTCTAGTGTCTTCTCGCTAAATTTTGTACCTGTAGTTGTTACCTTTACTTTTCTTGTTTGTGACAGGTGTTTATCCAACAGGTCGTATTTTTCTGTTACGCTTCTGTCGGAGTTTACTACTTCTAACAATGGCTTGGTAAATGAAGAATCAACGTTTTTGTCGTGGTGCTCCAATGTCAGCAATTTATTGTTTATTGTATTTCTGCCTCTTTGGGTTGGGAGCATTTTTAAACTACAGCGTACCATACGGTGGTCCGTGTTAAAATTTAAATTCTGTATTATGTGTGCATCATTGAAAAACTTTGGTTTGTTAGTAATTATTTATTCAATTTCATTTTTATATTTTCCATCAGGTGATAGCCAGGTCCATTTGGTTTTGGGTTTTTTTTGAAGACGTAGGGTTAGGTTGTTTTGTAATAGAAATTCAATTATTCTATGTCCATTAACACTTCTCTTTCCATATCCATATTTGCCAATTATCAGCACCGGCTTCTCTACAGCCAACCTGTGCATTAAAGTCGCCCATGACTATGAGGTAGTTACTGTGGTATTTTTTTATTGTGTCTGACAGAATGGAGTAAAACTTATAACATATACTTGTGTAATTGTTGATGTAATATATAATCATTGTATTCCATTATTTTTTCTTCTAATTTTCTCATTTCACTTATGCCTAAGATGTCGTAATTTATATACTGTAGCCCCTCTTCCAATTCCAATAGACTTTCCTGTTTTCTCAGGGTTCTCGTGTTAAGTGTTGCTATGTTGTACGTTTCACTTCTTTTTGCTGGAGGGTTTTGGTCTAGTGCTCCCATGGGGACCAGCCGTGGTGGGAGACAATTACAATTACTCTGCACTATATTACGCATATTTAGTTTCCTACTTTTTTATTCTATCTCTAGTCAAATGTGGGAGGGCCACGAAATAGTCTTCGCTGTTGCACGAATGGGCAAGTCCGTAGGGGCGAGAAGTGGAAGAGTTATACTCGTACATCTGCGTTACGTCTAGTGAATGAGGAATGCTGTCGAGTAGTGTTTAGGGCAAAGTAGTCTTTCACAGACAGTTTTATTATGACGTGTTAAACTTTTTCAAATAAATTTAGATGAAGAGTGCCACATTATGGCAGTGAAGTTGGCGACTTGGCTTCATTTTCAGCCAGTAGGCCGTATTGCGTCTACTTTAGAGCCTTTAGCAATTACAGTTGCTACTGGAAATCCGACAATAAATTGTTGACGTGTTGATATACTAAAGGGTAGATTAGAGACTTGAATAATTTAGCGATACAAGGTAGAAATAGGTCTATAGTTTTTAACATCAAACTGATCGCCCTTCTTAATAACTTTCAATTTAATAGGAAATACTCTTTAATATTAAAGTCTTCATTTTTTTTCTTATCAATTCGGCCCGTTTTTTTCCCTCAGTCCAGTGCAGTAAAATTTCATACACCCATATAAATATATACGCGAATTTTCTGAGAGAAACCAACCTTACCGATGTTTAGAATTGTTTTTTTTTATAGTTGGAAGGTTTCCTATTATTTCACCCATTCAAAAGTACCTTAAGTAAAAATATTCTATTCTATATTAAATTATAAAATCATACGCTCACGTAGGCTAAAATAAGACTATTATACCTGTATATTATATTGTGAACTGATATTTTAGAAAAAGAGCAACTGTTGGGTTTCTTGCCGGTCTCTTCTCAGCAGAAACTGCTTTCCGAACCGGTGGTACCTTACGAACCCATATACATAATTTTTGATGTAAAATTTGACTATTCATAAGAGCGCGCAAGCGTCTATTTGAATAAATATATTTTTGATTTTGATTTTAATTTTGATAGCATGCTTTAACTTAACAAACCATATTATACTGTATGTTTGTCTTTAAACAAAAATAAATTTATAATGCTTCATTAGATTCTTATACTGAATAAATAGCTCGGTAATATTAGTTTAGCTTCCTTGATTTTACTTTGCACAAAGGCTCCATTTTCACTCAATGCATTTTCCAAAAAAATTAAATTGTTATTTAAATGTTTACACAGTTTAAAAACAAACATTCTTACAATAATGTAGTGGACCGTTCGCAATCGTTTACTTATATTAAATACCTACCAGTTTAAAGTTGTAAATTTTGTTAAATAATATACATTTATAGTACGGCTCGACCCATAGCGACTTGTTGCTATTCAGTGTTATCTTTTTAATTACGCGCATATCTTCGTGATTGCCGCGCATGTACTTATTGCGCATATTATGATTCAAATTCAAATACTCATCATTAGCGAATTAAATATTTTAGTTGTTCGTCAAACTGTACTTATATTTTTGTATTTAATTTCTTATATTTCTATCATTTGCAATCAGCTTTTATTTGATTCCTACATACTTAATTGTATCCTTTTTTCGATGTTTCGATGTTCTCTGTAACAGTTTATGGTCGAAACTAGATTTAATTTTGTCACTGTCTAGACATACTAATTGCTTTAATCTAATAAACTTCAACTTTGTGCGCAAATTTATTATTGTGCTATCAGATTTATGATTGCGATGCCTCTTCGACGTCGGGCTCAGCATTTGTCGCCTCTTGGGTCTTGGGTATCATTATATTCGATGAAAAGTAACGCAAAAGGCATCATCGTCCTAAATTGCTTGAAACAGCTCATAATTAAGTATAATATAGTCTTTCATAAACATTGCTTAAATGTATGGATATAAGTATATTTGCAAGTCAAAAGCTAGCGTCCTTATTCGGACAACTACGCCTCGCCCCACATTGGCCGAGTCGAGACATTGAGACTGAGAGTGAGTCTGAGTGAGAGCTCGCGAGATCGCGAGTCGCGATGAGTCCAATTAATTCAAAGCACCCCGCTCCCCGCCGCCGCCACGGCCGCGCCGCGCCGCGCCGCCGCACCGCCGGCGCCCACCAGTCGACGGCCACTCGTCTCGCGAGTCAAACGTGTGCCCATCCACATCCCTGAACGCGAGTGAACAGAACAGTGCCCCCCGCGCCCGGTGCAGTGAACCACGGCGCACAATTGCGCGCCGCCGCCGACGAACGGCACTGTGTCCCGCTGTCCGCGCACCTCGCGCCTCGCACCTCGCCGAGAGAGCCCGCGGGGCCACTGACCGCCCCATCATCTCGGTACGTTTCGCCCGCTGCTCCTGCTCGAGCCCGGCCGCCGACGACGCGCGAAACTTCTTCTTACTCCTTCATATTACTCAATGACTCGAGTGTATCGTTGTCTATTGCACAAGCCTGCAATGGTCCGTTTGGCAGCGTTCCGCTGGAACCAACGTCTCCTTTACCGTTCTCTTGATGAATTGTATTATGAGTGGTTCTAATTCGACCGATAGTGTCACCTATCATCATCAATAACTAATGACGCATTTCGCAACAGACCTCGAAAAACATCGTGTAAATATTTAATTTTCAGACTTCGCCATTGTCTGTATATTTCATTTGGCATTTGCGCCGGTAAATAAAACGATAAATTATATTTAGTAGTACTTAAATCAGAATCAAATACCGCCGCCCATAGACATCTGCTATACCCGAGGGTTTGTAGATGCGTTGACAACCTTTTAAGAAATTGGGCTCCTACTACCTCACTCACCAGACGAAACGTGAAAGTATTTGTCATACTTCCACTTTACGCCGGTCTTCTGTGAGGTCGTGGTACTTACTCGGATGAGCCTGCCTGACTTTACGGTGTAAGGATATAAAATATCCCATAGCTTATTAATACAAGCACTTTGTAGATTGATTCTACGTTCAATAAGTTATTGTAGGCGTTTAAAACAAAGCTAGTGCTAGGGCTGTAGGGCCTCGGTACCGTTCAGGTGAAGGAGTACTTTGTTCCGTTTGCCTCTGGCGCCCAACGCAGTCGCACGCCTCCACCAAACCGTGACTTACACCCTCCTATTGCTGTTCCTTTAGGCCTTTTAAACGCGCACCATGTGTATTTAGAGCGAAGAGAGGTCTAAGAAGGTTTCTTATTGTCTTGTTCCACGTATACATAATATTTACCTACTTATTTCAATGGAACCGCGCATAAAGAAGATATATTACACTTACGTGATTATTTACTGGGGTTGAGAAGAATTTCCGATGGGGCCGATTGCTCGTCTTCAATTTGTCGATTATCAAGTCTTCCTGATTTGAATGGCACACTGATCAGTAATCCATTATGCAATGTACGATCGTACATTTTGTGATTAACTCCTTGATTTCTTGTTGCCTTTACTTAAGTTAAAATGCTTCAGGTGTATTTAAAGCGATAATCATACGGAGATAGCGAAGTGACTAATTTAATAGCAGTTTATATGTGGTATTATAGCGAGTGCCGAGACAAACCGAGAGCTGGTTTTAAACGAAGCGTGGACTATGAGACAATCTTCACATGCGGAAATGGCCAATAGATGTAAGAGATGACCTAGTTCCGCATAAGATTTGTATAATATTTTTGTAACTGAAATTGAATTAATGAATGTAATTAAAGAAATAGTACAATTCTTTAACATTTATTCATTAGTAACGGAGGCCATTTGCCAAGCGAACATCTAAATTTCCTCTCAGATGAAGTGGTCATGGACAGAAACTCAAGTTTTGTTTAATAAAAGCGAACCTACCAACAAGTCCACGAATCTCTTCGCAGTTTGTGAAATGGATGAAATAGGCTAATCCAATTTTATAGTTTAGCAAAACAATCCATAAAGCAATCAAAACAATAAATTCCATGTTTCCAAATTCCAAGTATTTACCAATATGATGGGATCACTTCTGCTCTATGAAAACTCAAGACATGTTAATTCTTTCTGACACCTCATTTAGCGTGTCCCACCACCGCGTGTTTTCTATATATTCTTAGAAAACATACGTTTTAAATGAATGGTATACGTTTTAAAAGCGTACATTTTTACGTCTACGTTCATTTAACTTCAATTAAGTAAATAAATATAACATTATGTTCCGTTTATTTAAATATTTATAAAAATAACCAAACGTGTAAACGCGTAGTAGAAAAATATGAGAAGCTGTAAAAACAGTGGGCTGTGAAACGTATCAAGGTCACAAAAAATTATAAAACTAACTGAACAGTAGGTATCAACAAAATTGTTTTTTTTTCTTTTATAATATATAATACTTATATTGATTCAATACGATGATATACTGATTGGTAGGTTTTTAAAGTGTCCTTAGTTTTTTAAAGTTCATCTTTTAGTGAAAAGATGTTTCGAAAGTTATATAAGATTCTAAAACGCTTCTCTAGCGGGTCGGTCAAGAAGGCGGGGCACGTCGGTAATTAATCGCATCGTATGATATTTTGTTATAGGCCGATATCCGTTGTGGCCTATTTCGGTCGCTGACTCGCGTTTCTTAATTCTATTAGTTCGCCGCCCTCGGCCGCCGCTTTTAGCAGTAAATTTGTTTTTCTAGGGACTGCAAAAATCCTCTGTACAAACATATTTTCCTTAGATATTTAAACAAGGGATTCTGTATCCGTTTCACTTGAAATTTAGATTAGTAACTTTTATACCTATAGTAGAGGTCAACGAATTACACCCACCTATCATTACCTATTATTAGGACGTTGTGGTAGTTGCTCTCTCAGTGTCATTGCTCGATCATCAGCTCTGTTGTTTATTGATTTACTATCAACTACTCGGAACTTCGTCCGCCTCAAGAACGCAAACTGTTCGTTCAGTTTGTAGACTGCACATGAGAGTTCATCTAGGTAACAGCCAATATATACGATTGTCAAAGACCAAATATTAGAGCAATACTCCATTCATTTAACAACCACCAATTTTATTGTTTTGTATAGATTCCTTGACATTCAATGTGCTTCCCAATGTGGCACTAATATATTTGAGAAAATTATAGAGGCGTGCTTTTATTTACACTTCACACGGCAAATGTTGGACGGTATTGAATGATGTGGGGATAAAAACAGTTCGTAAGTGTATGAAGCAGCGGGCTTCGTAAGAAAAACAAGGAAGAACCAAGTACAAGAAAGGAAAGACCCTAATGATTTATTGATTGATAACTTCTTGTCTTATTGTAAATAACGGCGGCGTGCTGATTTTATTAAGGTCAGCAAGATAAAAAAAATCACACATGATTGATGAGCAACACGGCCTCATTGCTTTATCCGGGAAGATTGGAGGAAGGCAAGGGAGAATGAGCTTGAATTGTATATATTGTACGGAAATTCGAACACGTCGACACTCCGACGAGCTAACAGAAACGATGACTTATGTGTGATAGCCGCAATGTCGCGACTCTCGGGTGAAGTGACTCGGCCAAGACTCGCCGTTGAGGGGCTGGCGCCTCACACTTTGGTTTGGAATTGCATTTCTTGATTCCTGTCATCTCTTTCCAGACGAGTCGATACTCAACAGACCTCCAACGTATTTGGAGTTTCCCCACATTCGAAGTCAAAAAAGACCTGGCCAGTTAAATATATGTAATATCGTCCATAATCAGTCTAAGGCAATACAAAATTTAATTATAGTAAATAAGCAATTGTTGTTTTTATTTTTACGTTATTTTGCTTGTAATTTTAACTATTGTAATTATGGATCTATGCTCTGAAATTAACTCATTATTACTATTAATGTAACAAAGAACTAGAACGATAAAAATGCAGCTTAATTGGATTAGAATGAAGATTAATATATGGAGAAAAAATGCACGAAAGTTTTTTCATTATTTTATATAAAGGCTCTCGCCTCTATTTGTCACTTTAGACTCGGAATATTTCTCGGTATTAATTATATTATATATATTAATATTTATCGGACATTCATGGTGTGAATTCGCGCATATACCTGCATTGTCTAAGGCGAAAAGGAATAAGTGCTTCATAGCGAGCTTGCGATATCGAGAAATGATAAAACAGTTTTTATTTAATATCAAAAAGAAATAAATTATATGAAAATAACTTATGTTTGTTATAGAAGCAACTATTATTAAAGTTAAAGGACCATTGCCCGTTTTCTTAGAGATGGTGCGTTTTAGCTTGGTACGGGTAACAGCTGTCATTCACATCATGGTATATACCTGTAATAGGCATTTATTATTAAAGTATGGGCCCTATAGCTAGGATCGTAAATTTTACTATAAAAATATATAGTGAAATTTATAATTAATATAAAATATGAATATGCCTAGCAAGTTTCGTAATTTGTGACGCTACAATGTACGCAAGGGAATGTTGTACTTCATTGCGAAGAGCGCACGCCCGCACGGGTAGTGCGTTCCTTGGGTTGTCTTAATACAGACGATAAATTAAATAAATCAATTAATACAAAAAGATTATGGATAATTGACCTTATGTCTATTTGAAATTTCTATCACTTAACGCCTTCAAAATGAGACGCACTATCTTCTTTATAAAGAATATCTTAAATGTAAATTCGTATTCACGATTGACAACGATATGGGAGAAGAAATATTAGATACTATTGTCGACGCGTTATCAATTGAGTCCTCAGGCCATCAACGTCAATAGGTACAGGGATGTGCATTTGGCGGTGGCATTGCGCCATTTTAAGGGATCAAACACCATACATAATCGATCTACAGGACGATACAGAGGACGAAGATTCTGATAAGGAACTCTTATCGATATGCGCTTTCATTCATCTTACGCATATATATATATTCCGATATATAAGACCCACAAGTTCCAGTGAGTTAGACATAAAGAAACTGTTTATATCCCGCAGAGTAAGTTGATAACGCGCCGAGTATAGAGGCGTGATGTGCTCGGTGTGCCGTCGTAAATATATACTCTATGATGGTGTTATTTTGTGGTAATATTTATGCTGTAGGATGACGACACAGGATAATGTTATCCTGTAGGGCAATGTTTTTAAACACTAAAGAACATAACAGATTAATAAAAAAAATGTTTTAAAAATTATACTTAATAGAATATAAATAATTATTATCGATAAAATGAGCTGTGCCACTAATATCAATTAAAACGGTCCCAGTTTGAATACACACATTATTGACATGAGCGATTAGGTGTACACATTTTGCAAAGTGTTTAAAACATTTGAAACTTACTTAAAAAATGACCCAACACGCACTTAAAATTAAAACAAGAGTCCAATCGTGCATTTCAAATGTAA